GCGAAAAGGGCTCTGTGGAGATCACCGACCTCGCCATCCAGACCAAGGGCCCGGCGCCCGGTGCAATCCTGATGGAATGGAATGTTGCCGAAGCCAGCCAGGGATCTGTGGGTATGTGGGATGTGCACTTCCGCATTGGCGGCTCCGCGGGCACGGAATTGCAAAGCGACAAGTGCTCCAAGACGCCCAAGATGACCACAACCCCCAACCCGGAGTGCATCGGCGCGTTCCTGTTGCTGCACCTTACCGAGCAGGCAAGCGCCTACATCGAGAACGCTTGGTTCTGGACGGCGGACCACGAGCTCGATCTGGCGGACCACAACCAGATCAACATCTACAACGGCCGTGGTGTCCTGGTAGAGAGCACTGGACCCGTCTGGCTGTATGGCACGGCCTCGGAACACCACCAGCTGTACAACTACCAGGTTGCAAACGCGCAGAACGTGTTCATGGCCTTGATCCAGACCGAGACGCCGTACTACCAGTCCAACCCCGACGCACTGACACCCTTCACGCCCCAGACCACATGGAACGATCCTACCTTCTCCCACTGCACGACCGCCTCGTGCCGCAAGGCCTGGGGTCTGCGCGTGATGAACACCTCGGATCTGTTCGTGTACGGGGCGGGTCTGTACAGCTTCTTCGAGAACTATGGCCAGACATGCTTGGACACCGAGTCGTGCCAGGAAAACATGGTGGAGGTTGACTGCTCGAATGTCCATCTGTACGGACTGAGCACCAAGGCCAGCGTCAACATGATCACGTCGTCCAACGGCGCGGGTATTGTGCCGCAGGACGAGAACGAGAGTAACTTTTGCTCTACTATTGCTCTCTTTGAACAATCGTGAGCATTTTGTTGACTGTTGCGTGCGCTGATGATGGTCATGGCTCTCTTTCTCGTTCTTTGTTTTCTTGGGTTTATTTCACAGGACACCCGTATGTTTCTTGCTCTGGCGAGCCAGGGTTGCAGGTATCTAGAGGCCAGTGGTGGTTGCAGATAGATATGACATGTGGATACACCTTAGACCAATACATTGATTCCCAATATGTAGTAATTGACAGACTCCACCCGTACAAATATCCCCATAATAGCAATAGCAAACGTAGATTCAAGACGACACGAGGTAGCGATCAGAGTTCCTTCTTCAAGAAATGCTCCGGCTTGTGAGTCGTCTCATAGTCGACATGGACATAAGCCCGCTCCACATCAGGCAACGACTCGAGCTTCATCTGCAGCTCCTCGGCGACGTCATGGGTCGCACGCAGGGACTCCTCGGGGTCCATGACGATGTCGACCTCGACGAGCAGCCGGGGGCCGGAGGTATACGCGCGAACGGTATCGATGGCGGTGATGTAGGGGGAATGAGTCATAGCTGGAGATCAATTAGCCTCTCTTTTCTTTTCCTTATCTGGACCATGAAACATACAGATATAAGTGATGAGCTGCTGCATCTTGGTATCGGCGGTGACACCGATGAGCAGCTGGAACTCATGGTAGGCGGTATGCAGCCAGAGGACGCTGATAAGCACCGAAAGGATAATAGCGCCCATGGGATCGATCCACCAGCGCAGTTTACTGCCGCCGACGGAGGTGAGGATACCGAAGCCGTTGATGAGGAGGTCGTTGCGGTGGTCTTCCCAGAGGATTCTGATCTGGGAGACCTGGTTGCGGAGGGCCCAGCAATACAAGAAGAGGGCGAGTTTCGTGCAGAAGGCGACGACGACGGCGATGACGGAGGGGAGGAAGAAGGAGCCCGTCACGGCGTCGGAGCCCTCGACCAGCTCGCGGATGGAGAAGGCGATGAGGATGAAGGAGACGGCGGTCATGAGGAAGCAGAAGCAGATGTTGCCTGCTGTTTCGATGCGGGCTTTGCCTGCTGGGAACTTGCGGGGGTCGACGCGGTTGACGGCCTTGTTGCAGAGGAGGAGGGTGAGGTTGGAGCAGGGGTCGAAGATGGCGTCGGCCATGGTCGTGAAGAGGGAGAGGGAGCCGGAGGAGATGGCGCCGTAGAGCTGGAGAACGGAGAGGACGACGTTGGCGGCGAAGGAGCCGTAGACGGCAATGCGGTAGCGGAGGGCGTTGTTGCTGTTGAGCTCGCGCGCGGCGCGGACGTGTTCCTCGACGGGTTTGAGCATGCGCTCGATGTTCTCGTTCTGCGTCTTGTAGAAGCCCTGCAGTTGGCGCGAGGCCAGGGTGTCGGATATGGCGTTGCGGCTGCGGAGTTTGATTCCTGCGGCCGCGGTGGACGAGGAGGAGGCATCGCGTTTGCGCGAGGTGTTGGCTACCGGTTGGATCTGGCGGATCTCCTCGGCGGTTTTCAGCTTCGAGGCGAGCTGGAAGGGATCGTTTTCCGGCGTGTACCGGGGCGGCGGCTGGCCTTCTTCATCGCTGCTTGGGTTCGTGCGGTGCTGAGAGATGTGTGGCTGTGTCTGCTCAGAGGGATCAAGAGCTGTGCTGGTGGCTGCGTTCAGGGACAAGGCCGACGAGGCTCGGTCTCGGGGGATGTGCGAGTGTAGGGTGTGTGGGTTGAAGGGTGAAGGGTGGTGAGAGATGCTGTGTCGAAAGTGACTGTCCTCCATGGTGAAGTAGTTGACTATACGGAGTAAATCAACTTATAATGGATGGCAAGAAGGGAGGGGGATGCATGGGTTTTAATCATTGACGGCAGGAAAAGTGAGAGGTTTATCCGGGTTTCCCCAAACGGAAAAATCCCATCTTGGCAGTGGCTGAGTTTATCTTATCTGATCAACGGATGTGTCAGAAATGACCAATAACTAACTACTACTACTTATGCATTATGCCTATTTCCCTAGTGCAGCAGACTTGTGCAGACAGGCAATTCTATTTCTATCACTAGTTACACATGTCTCTTTTCTCCATTGATACACCGGCGCTTTATTCCTAAGCAATATACTGCAGCAGGCTCTTCAGAACAGAAGCAACGTAGCTAAGCTGCTCCTCAGCAGTGCCGCTGGTGGGGAAAGACGTGGACGAACCAGCGCCATTACCGGTGCCAGCGGCCGAGGTGGCAGTCGGTCTCACGCTGGTGACCATAGTGGTAGGCGTGGAGATAACGTTGTTTCCGGTGCTGGGAGTGGTGACAGCAACGCTGGGAGTAGTGGTCGGAGCCGAAGAGCCAGAACCAGCGCTGGAGCTGGAGCTGGAGCTGGAGCCAGAGTTGGAGCCAGAGTTGGAGCCAGAGTTGGAGCCAGAGCTGGAAGAGCCGGAGCCGCCAACAGTGAAGTCAATGCAGGACTCGTAGGTCTGGTCGATCGACTCGGCGAACCAGTACCACTGGAGAACACAAGCACCGGGCTCGGAGCACTGGCTGCCCAGGTTGTCAGGGATGGTGATGCTGAAGTTGGTCTCGTCCTGGGAGACACCGGTGGCGGTCGAGGCGTAGTCGGTCCAGGACTTGAGAGTATTGCCAATCACAGTGTTGGTAGCGGTGTCAACGACGGAGACGTTGGCCACACCGGTGTGAGGCGCACGGATGTCAACCACGAAGTCGACGGTCTGGCCGGCGGTGTAGGAGTAGACGTTGTCCTTGTTGTCGTCGAACTTGTAACCCTTGCAGAGCCAGATGTCACACTCCTCGGCGTTGTAGTCGCTCTGGCTCTTGGCTACCTGAAGCTCACCCTGGATGTTGCCGTAGTTGTCGGACTGCTGGTTGATCTCCACCTGGTTACCGCAGGCAGCCTTCATAGCCGCGCCGGGCATACGAGGCTTGGGAGAGGTGACAAAACCGTGACCGTGGGCCATGGAGACCAGGCCGGCGAGCGCAACGAGAGTGCCGGTTTGCTTCATTGTGTTGGTTGTGGGTGGTCGAGATTTCGAAATGTGGAAAGTATGAGGTCTAGAGAATGGAACAGGTATACCAGTATACCGAACGTGGATCGATCAAGGAGAGTCTTAGACTGAAGCGAAAGGAAGAGAAAGAATGAAATGGTCACAGACCTAACAATCTCAGAAGAAAGAATGTGGAACGAAACAAGTCTGCGTGCTGGGAGAGAGGGAGAAGAGAGGAGCAGAGAGCAAGGCAGCCCGACCAACTCTATATACAACGAACGACAGGACGAGCTCCAGGAGTGAAGTCCATTCTGAGACACGGCTCTAGGCTCAAACAGGGATTCAGGGACAGACTTCATCCCGAAATTTCACCAGTTGCGCCGGCTTACTCCACCGGAAAAGAGCGTTTGTGATCTGTGTCGGTCAAGGAGCTGGACATAGCTCAGCGTTGGCACTAGCTTAGCCGTTAGCTGTCTCCTGAGCTGCTGAAAACGAGTCAAGGGCATCGGAACTCAACCGACCGACTCACTGGGCATGGAAAAGGTCTAAACCGGCCGAAGCGCCGATGTGGTTTTGGATAAATTGGCATGAAACAAATGGAGACGGCGGTGGATTTGCTTAGGAGCAGCTCCGGGATGCTTGGCACTCTGCGAGTTTCATCTTCATTAACACTGCAGCCCCATGGGAGACTAACCTCATATCGTGCGACGTCGAGCCCTCAATGGCGAATCGGCCTGCTTCCCTAGGCAAAATTTGGACCAGATTTTGTCCTGCTGTAATATCCGTGGGAGGTTCATGAGTCGTAGCGTCGTAAATATCAATCTATATGCTTGACGCCTTCACATGCGCTCACAACGGCGACCCACTGGATAACTATGTAAACGTCAAAACAGGCATCAGGCCCGTACAGTAGACTCCACAATTCATGATGATTTTATCTTCAAATTCCTCATTCCTTGATCAATAAATCCACGAATTATATCACACGCAAAAGGGGGGTGTAATGCCACAAGTAATCAAAACGCAGGGGGGAATATCCAATGCTCATGATCCGCAAAAGTGGTATCGCATCAATTGTATCCATCATAATGAAAGCGGCTAGATTGCACCGAAAAGCAAAGTGGCTCAAGAACGCCCAATCGTCTGAAATTGCCAATACTTGAAACAAGCCAGCCAGAAATGGCTGAGCCTGAAGTAAATCACCACGATCTCAAAGAGTGCGCTGCGTAGGACGTTGGTATGATCCTGCCTGGTGTTGGTTCTCTGTGGCACCCAGACTGTTGTTGTTGTTGTTGTTGTTGTTGTTGGTTGTGCTGTAGTCATCCGCAAACGGATTCTGTACCTGGAAATCCTCCGACCGGTACTCGTACCGAGCCGCATTATTACCCACCGGAGCTGCCGTCGGAGGCGCCGTTGACAAAGGAGCCACTGTTGCAGTGCTCTGCTGCTGCTGCTGCTGCGGTGGTGAGAAGACCGAGGGCGAGGCGCTTTGCTCTTCTCGCTGTGGCACTGGGAGCGCAGGGAGTGGGCGATTGGTCTCAGTCTCAGTGGCTCCGTTCGATGGAACTGGTGACTGGCTCCCCGAGTTGCCAGTTGCTTTGCGGGCGCTGAGGAACGCATGCTGGTACTTGGACAACGCGACCGACAGCTCATCGTTCGTCTCGATTAAGGTCTGAAGCGTGTTCTCGTCGGGTGCGGGATTCGTCGAGTGTATATAGTTCTGTATGGCGCGGGATGCCGTCTGGCAACGAGTACAGAATTCCTTGATGAGCTCGTTTCCGTTGAACTCTGTGGGCGGCGTCGACTGAACAAACTGCAGGAGTAACTTGGCCGACGTTTTGGCTTCCGTCACGCGAGCAGCGAGTTCATCTGGTGGTGGTAGTGTCGAGGCAGGCCGGGCAGAGATCTGCATGTATGGGTATGCCTGCTGCTGCTGCTGTTGCTGGTGCTGCGACCGTGAGGATCTCCAGGTGCTCTGCCCAAACCGCGAACCGTTAGCAATGCATTTCGCTACTTCACCATGACCTGACAAGCGTACCCCACTGTTCTGTCTGCTCAGCTTACTCTTCTCCTTCTTCCACATCTGCATCAGCGGCGCTAGATCCTCGTCCCACTGTCGCTGCGACTCGATGGCACCCAGCGTTTCCCGCAGGAAGTGTTGCACGTTGAGGTCCCACCCATCACGCAGGAGATCCTTTATCGTAGCGACGAACTTGGCATCGATGTTGCGTGTAAACGTGTGGCCCGGATTGTCGATGAGTATGCGCATTAGCATAATCGCATTGTATTGGATCTGGGCTGGAGTTGAGGCTGGATCGGACAGGTATTTGCGAAGCCGCTGAGCAGCCTCTCTGGCGGCATTGGGGCTGGACTCTGCGCTTTCGACTATGGCGGGCAGGTGAACGAATTCGTTTCCTTGCTATGCGACCAGGATATTAGCGATGTTTTGCAATGACGGCGCAGTTGGTGAGCCAAATGAGTCAACGTACTCGGCTGTCTTGCTGTCCCCCGCTCTCGCAGAAATCTTTCTGTAATCCCGAGTGGTCGCATTAGCGATTATTCAACGATTTGACGTCACTTGGACGGTATTTCCGACGGTCGCACGTACCACTGCTTTCAGAATCGTTCCCTCGGGCGAGTCATCCGGGTACTCCGAAGGGCTGTTGAGCGATGGGCCTATTTCTAATGAGCGTCCCGGGGGTGAACAAGGGTCCATAAAAGGGGCGGATGGGGACTCACTCGAGCGCTTGCTGAGAGAACCAAATATGCGCTTCATTATAGAGAACACTTGAAAACGAGATATACAACAAGGACTCCTCGCAGAATATAGTGGTGAGTCAACAGGAGAGGAAAAGTAGACAGATCGGCCAGATAAACACCAGTGCAGCTGACAACCCCAACTAGGTACAAAGTAGCCTAAGTACGGGGAAGTTTAGGCAGTACCTCTGCACGGAAGGCAGAAACAACAAAATCCCCGATGTGCCTGGAGCATAATCAGAACCATAACCATGACCATAACCATAATTATAGCCACGAGCCACAAACCGTAGTCTGAAATATATGGTTCAGTAGGCCCGTGGCAGTGGCAATGTGCGTCGAGGACACGCAAGCCAGCTTTCCGTTATCTGAATGATGAGTATTATTCAATATCAGTCATCGGTCCATCGGTCGCAAGGGAGTTATTCTTTCCACGCTGTCGTCTGAGCAGGTGATGCAACCGAGTACACTTGATACGTATGCATATCGGAATTAAGAGTCTTACTCCATCAGCACGCGACGAGTGATTTGTTGAACCACTTTAAGCTCCGGATCGACTGCTATGGTCTGGTTGGAAAAGACAAGCAAAGCAGCACCGCCACGCTTGGCTTCTCAAGGCATCAACGAATATGTTGCAGAAGCTGACGAATGTCGCCTTCCTTTGGTCAAGCACTATGGCTGGTGATACGTTTTGAGTTCAATTTGGACTACAGACTACAAGAGATAAGCGAAAGTTTCATGTTGTTACACTGCAGAGTCTAATGGTCTGGATCCGAGTAGTCTCGAAACATCAAGATTTGGTAGGTATCAAGGAAAAGATGAATCCGTATCCCGTTCATGAAATAACGCTCGACATTATCTCGAAATATATGAGAGAAGGTCCGGGGCTGGTTGTACCAAGACAAGAAACCGATCATCAACCGATTGCCGGACGAGAACCGCAGTCACTCAATCCCAGCCTCGAAACGGTCGGACGAAGACAGAACCAAAAAGGAATCAGACCTGTCAAAGGTCAATGCTGATGGACCCTCCACGAGATGCCCCTAGCCTATGTCTTTTGTCTCATGCTCATCGCCCGTTTGGTTTCGAATTTTTTCGTTTTATTCAGAAGATAGAATAATGGAAATTCTTTTGCATTCCTTTCCGTGACCAGGTATTTGTTCCGTACAACAGCAAACTCCGGCTTCCCATTCATTTTCCGACTACCCTAACCCCCCGACATCTACAGCCCGCTTATGCCTCGATGAGGGCACGGCGGATCTGAGTACCACGCTGGCGGGAGCTGAGGTGAGCACCCTCCTTCTTGACAACTTGGGGAGCCTTCTGGACGGTCTCCTCACCCTCGGTAAGGATGAGCTCGATGTGGCAGGGGTTGGTCATGTAGGGGTTGATCTAGACTCCGAGTTAGTCTCTTTGGTTGACTTCCAGCGGTGAAACGTAGGTCAACGTACACGACCGTGAGCACGGTAGGTGCGTCTCCGGCCCTTGGGAGCCTGGTTGACCTGGATGTGCTTGACAATGAGGTTGCCGGTGTCGAGACCCTTGGTGTCGGCGTTGGCCTCAGCGTTCTTCAGGAGGTCGAGGAGGAACTGAGCGGACTTGACGGGCCAGCGAGCCTTGCTGACACCCCACTGCTTGCCTGTAATATAGTCAGCATCTGATTTCAATATGTTCCCCAATGGTCATCGATCTGCGTTCCATGCACAAAGCATTCTCGCTTCGTCTTTGCGAAAACCACAAGACTATCCCATATACCTCCACCGATATCTCCAATTCAAGGGATAAGAAATTGCCGACACTCACCCTGAGCAGTGCGACCAATGCTGCCAGCGTACCGCCGGAAGGGAACGACCTCGGTCTTGGTCTTGACGTTCTCGAGGAAAGTAAGGGCGCGCTGCAGCTTCATGCCGTTGATGGCCTGAGCGGTCTCACGGGTGTTCTTGAAGCTGACACGCAGGTAAGAGCCCCGGGCGCGGGCGCTCTTTGCGGCCGGAATGTCCTGAGCAGCGTAACGGACCTGATGCAAACAAAGACCCAACATCAGCAAAAACCATGTCCTATTCCCAATTCCTTCACGACGCATGAAACGGAGCGGGAACGATGGCGTCGGTATGATTCAAATTGTCGAGATTCTTCTTTCGTGAACAGGCCACAGCCAGAAACCACGCAGGTAAAAGTCGAACATCGCCGGTGCAACGGGAAACGTTCTGAGCGTATTTCCTCAACTCCTGCCGTCTGCCTTTCTTTTTTCCTTTTCGATCCATTCCTTCGCCATCGTTTCCGTCGTCTTGAATAATGCCAAAAACACTCACCATCTTGATGCGGTTGCCGAGCGGGGTGGTCCTCGATGTCGGATGAGAAGTTTTGTCGCTTTGCTTTGGTCGGCCGCTGGAATCTTGAGATCGCGAAGCTCGCTCGTTGTAGTGCGCTTTTCGCTCTTGGCGCCCGCACGCCCTAAGCGAGCCCTAACACTAGACCCAGTCCGGTAGTCAAATCACTCACCGCCCGGCAGATAAGAACATCAGAAGTTACTTCATACTTGTCTGTAAGGTGTCTTTATCTCACTCATTCAACGTTAATATGGTTATTGGTAGGGATATCTTTGTCTATGAAATGTGCATTGCTCTATTTAGAAGAAAATAAGGTCTATTGAGTCATCAATTACTTTCCGTTCTGCCCCTTGAAGATATCCTTCTGCTCCGGCACCAATGTGATCATCTCGCCCTTCTCCACCGCCGAGCGCAAGTTGTTCAAGACCAACAGCTCCATTTCCTTCTGGGTCTCACAGGTCGCGGTTCCAATATGCGGTAGCAGCATCACGCGGGGGTTATTTACAAGTCCAGGTTCGATCTCGGGCTCGTTCTCATACACATCCAAACCAGCCGACATGACCTGTCGGATTACGTTACCACCCATAACTCAAGGAAGTAGGATAGGATGAAGCTTACCTTGCCGGAATCCAAAGCGGCGACCAGAGCCTTTTCGTCAATCAAAGCACCACGAGCCGTGTTCACAATGACCACCCCGTCTTTCATCTTTTGGAACTCCGTCTCTCCAATGATATGGCGAGTTTTGGCATTGAGGGCGAGGTTCAAGCTGAGGACATCCGCGTTCGCCAGCAACTCATCAAACGAGACATACTGCGCATCCCCCTCAAGCTCTGGCGAGAGTCTCGATCTGTTGTGGTATTGTATCTTCATTCCGAAAGCTCGTGCGCGATTGGCCATTTCCTATTGCAATGCAATCAGCTGCCGGATCCTGTGACTTGAAAGTACAGGGCTTACCCTTCCGATTCCTCCCATCCCGAGAATACCAAGCACCTTGCCCTGTGGGTCATGCCCGAGCGTAGTCTTTCCCTGCCATTGACCTACGGACGTTGTCAATTTCTCGAGTTTCGTAGAATTGAACGGCAAATTACTAACCGGCGCGGAGAGCAGATAAGGGGATATAAGCCTGGCGCAAAGCGCCAATCATCAGGAAGATGCCAACGTCGGCAGTTGCGTGGTTCACGGCGACTGGGGTACTGGAAACGGCAATTCCTGTACTTTATCAGCTTTTCTGATTTCTGTATCAGAAAGCCATAGATGATCGCACCCTTCTCTGAACAGGCCGGGATGTCAATGTTGTCGTAGCCAGCCCCATTGTGGCAGATATACTTTAATGACTTGGGAAGGACAGAGAGCAACTCTGCGTCGAATGGACCGGTGAACTGAACTCAATCAGTAACTAGACCTTTATCGCCGCGTTCCACTGCCACGCTTACCTTGGTAGACACATTGGATCGGTAAATCACTACCACATCATCGTACTGGCCGTCTTTGCAATTCCGGATGAACTCGTCTCTGGTGCCTTCGGGGAATTCCTTCAACGCTCCATTAGAGTCGACACTCCACCAGACCACAATCGCGAGCTCACCTTTAGAGTCAGAATGGACGAGAGATCTTCCCACTCCTTTCTCGCGTGGGTGATGGCACCGATGAGTAGAGCGGAGGGCATGATGTCAGAGTTGGAGAGCGGGGTGAGAGCTCTTATCGCGGTGTAAGAAGAATCCGATGTTCAAGAATAGAGCGCAGGGAGAGACAGAGCAATTAAGATAAGAAGAAAGAAGGATAGAAGATATCAAGAGATAATTGAAAGGATTCACCTGACTAGTATCTGGATCCTGATCGTGTTTCTCGACTTCATCTTGGTTATCATTTCCCGGAGATCCTCCATTTTGCGTGGGGGTTACCAGTATTACAGTATGGTATTACGCCGGGTTGATACCTCAATACATCAATACAAACTACGATACAGCGAGTCCAGTGACAATACTTGCGCCAGATGCAGAAGAACTGAGGAACGATACTAGCTAACGTTCAGATAAACTAAAATAGACCGAGGTAAATACATATAAATCACTGAATACAGAAGAACTGTCTTTAAATTCAGATACTCCCGACTGCGTTGTTCTTAAATACATCATGTTATGATGGTAATCCGCAATGTCGGCTATTGAAAAGCACTTCAATTCCCGCTGCGGAGCAAATCCGGTATGACCCCACGTTGTTCAATGGCCGACGAGGGGAAGAGAAGATGGAATGACTGATGATGCTTCGGAATCATCCATAATAATTATTCTGCCATGAGCAATGAGAATAAAAGCTTTTCTCTTCCAAGGTACTCCTTGATCTTGTCGACAAGGACATTTCAACAAGCACCATGACCACCACAACCACCACAACAGCACTCGTCCTCCACGGAGCCAAAGATCTCCGCCTGGTACGTATCAATCTGAAGGTACAACCACAGCTCGATAATAACAGCATCAGGAATCACGACCCATCTCTCCTCCCACCGGCTCCGAAGTCCAAGTCGCCATCCGCGCAACCGGTCTCTGCGGCTCAGACCTTCACTACTACAACCACGGCCGCAATGGCGACTTCGTCGTGCGCGAGCCCATGTGCCTGGGCCACGAATCCTCCGGCACCGTCACAGCCGTCGGACCAGACGTGACAACCCTGCAGGTCGGCGATCGCG